GCTCTCGTTGTAGTCTTATGGTTATGGTTAAATAGGTCCCGGGTTCGAATCCGGACAGCAACGGAAAATATTCGTATCTTAAATTTTCTCTTATCACATCCATTCCTGTTCTCTAACCATGTTCTGTCTTCTGCTTTCGTCTACACTTTCTACCTCCACCCCTCACCTCATTTGCCTCTTCCTCTGGGATCCTTTCTAATGCTACTCCTCGGCTCCTTCTTACAGCTGTCTTTCAGCCACAACCGCGATCTTATGGTAGGTAAGATCAACAAATAACATTTTCGGATAAGGGCAAAAAATCTTGGGGGTCCCATGTGCAAGTTGCGCACGCTAAAGATCCCTTGGTGGTCTAAAATCGATAAGAGTAGGTCTCGGTCGCCACCGGGGCAAAATTCAAAATTTCCTACCAACTGAACTTTTCTAATGCGTCATGCGCGCTCACATGACTTTATGCAGTTGCGAGCGCTGTAAAACACCAAAAAAACCAAACAAAAACCAAGAATAAAAACAAACAAACACTGAAGCTTTGGAGGCTATACAGGTGTTAACGAAGTTAGAGGCTCCTTAACGTCGCGCGCAGAACACGACATTGTTTCTATGCTCATGTGGGATAGTTTGTTTTAAAAAGTCAAGTGTGCGTGTGTGTTTGATGGCACTTTGTATCCCTCTCAGGCTGGGTTAGCCCCGACAGCAGGTACAGTCGAAGCAGCGCTCCTCCTTTAATAATTATAATAATAATGATAAATAGCATTTGTATAGCGAATGTCCCCACTTGAAAGCAGGCTCTATGTGCTTTACACTATATTAAAACCCCAGCAGACCATAGAACACTCAGAAACATTCTCAGCTTCCCGGGAAGCATACAGTGCAAGCAGCTGGTTAAACACTCAAACACTAACAAACTGACAAGATCTTTCTCTATCTATAGCTGGGTACCATTTTCACCTGGGTGAAGTGGGGGAAAAATTAGTGTAAAGTGCCTTTCCCAAAGACACAACGTCGGGCCCACGGCTCGAACCCCCGAACCTGCAAACCTCACGATTACGAGTCCGGTAGCCTAACCACTAGGCTTTAATGATCTACACTGTGTTACTTGAGGGCGTAAAACAATAGGTGCGCAATTACTCACCATCAGTTTGTCACTTTCTCTGAACACTTTAGACTTGTTTCTTTTCACCTGTGGTGAGTTTCTCTCCTTCTCTTCGTCACTGTAGCTTCCACTGTCCCGCTCAAGGCTGTCATCAGACGCTAGTTGGTTCTCTGAAAGTGTACGTTTCACATGAATAAGATAGAAGATCAACTATTCTTTAACAGAAATGCAGAGAGTTAGTCGTCAAGGCCTTTTTCGTTTAGGGATGATATTTAGAGGGAGAGAGAGGGTGGGAGAGAGAGGGTGCGAGAGGGAGAGAGATAGAAAGAGAAAGACAGATAGATAGACAGACAGATGGATAGAGAGAGAGAAAGAGAAAGAGAGAGAGGGAGAGAGAGAGAGAGAGAGAGAGAGA